AGAAAGAAGAGGAGAGAGAAGGAAGAAGCACAGTAGGAGGGAGGGTGGCAACCCACTCCAGCCCCGCCCTCAGGTCCAGCCAGGGCCTCTCGGGCAAGAGGCCAGCTGGACCTCTCTGGTCCCCTCCTCAGCTCATCAACCAACTGCCCCTTGTGCTTGAGCCTAGGTGGACTCAAAGACCTGAAGCATCTGGAAATGATTTAATCCTCTCAAATGCACTACTAATTGAAAATGAAACCTTTCCAGCCAAATCCTCAAATGGAAGAAAAGAGAGACCCCTTAAAATAAATATTCAGCAAAAGCCAGCCTGGTGATGTCCACATTGGATTCAGAACTACACATCTGATCATCAGTGGTGTGAAAGCAAAGTGGCAAATTCTAACAACAGACTTTCTATCCCCTGAAGACAGTTGGATGGATACAAAGTCAAAATCATTCAAGCCTCTTCTGTAGAACATTCTAAAAATAAAATCTATGGGTTCCAGAATCTTCCACAGGGAGGGACCACACAACATATATAGAAATCCACAGCCAAGCTGTCTGTCACTGCCAGTTTCTCAGAGTCGGATGTACATGTACCCCTTAGGTGGATGTGAGCAAAGCCACAGGGTACCCAAGCACATGCACCAGCAGGCCCAATCTGACTTCAAAAGGTGGGAAATAAAGCAGCAAAATATCTGTGCTCCCTGCACCTACATGGAAATGAGACTGAGTTATCAAATGATCCTGTCGCCAAGACAGAAAAGAGACACTTCTTAGGTACTGAGTCTGATTGGTGGGATCAGCTCTAACCAAGTCAAAAGAATCTCCAAATTTCAGTAGATTCAATAGAACTGAGTCACCCGATAACCAAGAGAGTAGAAAATCTGGTTTTGACTTGCTTCTTCTCATGGCAACTCAAAGCATTATTTTTACGTTGAAATACAATACAATACAAGACGCAATAAAAAAACACACATGAAGTTTTATAATAAAACACAATCTCAAAATTTTTAAACTTGAAGCAGATCATTGTGGGCAGTAGCGGGTAAGAAAAAATTCCCTCTCCTCTGCCATGAAGACATTTTAACAGACAAAGAAGTTAGTTCCGGAAAAGAAAGACGGCCAGGCTGGAACCTCAACCCCAGGAAGATGAACACCAGCCACTCAGTTCACTGCAGGATAAAAGCCCGTCCCACAGAACTGAAAAGAGGAAACCTAACCTCTGCCTGAGCCGGAACGTACCACGATTGCATTTGATCACTTATCTTAGCCCTCACTGAAACTCAGGGAAGCAATTACAGCTGTGATCTCCCCATTCTACAGATGGGCAAACTGAACTTAAATATGGAACCAGTAAGGGGCACAGCTGGGTGTGAACCCAAACTCCACCACCACCCAGCTCCTGGTAGCATCTGCCACAGTGTGACCACACAACCTCCCCCACACCGCTGCCAAATCACCTTCGTGTGCAGCACCTGCCATTCCCAGGACGCACACACCCGACTTTGGCCAGACCTTCTCTGAGGCCTGCTCAGATCCACAGCGTGGCTCCCTCAGGGTGAAAGGGACCGGAGCTACTGAGCTTCCCCCCAAAGCAAAGAAGCATTCCCAGCACTGGGGTTAAAGTAGGAATGAAGTTGCTGGGCTGAGAGAGGAGGGCCTTTGGGGGCCCCGTGGGAAGGCTTGGCCTCATGGATCATTCGATGACTCTGAGAGCTCGGGGAGGAGCTGGGGAGTCCCAGGCGGCAGCCACACGCCGTATGGAACTGTTGAGGGCTTGGTGTGTGACCAGTCCAAACAGAGATGTGCTGTGGTTACAAAATACACCCCAGCATGCAGAGACTTCATATGAAAACAAGAATGCAGAATACCAAGTTAATAATTTATATATTCATTGCATGTTGAAGTGAGAGTGTCAGATACTGGGTTTTGTTGCTGTTGTTTAGTTGGTAAGACATGCCTGGCCCTTTTGCAACCCCAAGGACAGCAGCGTGCCAGGCTCCTCTGTCCACGGGGTTTCCTGGGCAATAATATGGAGTGGGTTGCCACTTCCTTCCTCAGGGGATCTTCCCAACCCAGGGATCGAACCCACATCTCCTGAATTGGCAGGCAAGTTCTTTACTGAGCCACCAGGGAAGTCCACATATTGTGTTACTTAAAATGTATTATTAAAATTAATTTTAATAATTTTAATTTATTTAATTTTAATTAAAATTTTCAATAATTTTAATAATTTCTATTTGTTTTGAATGCTGCTACTAGAAAATTTAAGATTATATTTGCAGCTTATGTCCTATTTCAACTGGACAGCACTGGTCTGTACCTTCTGGAGACCTTTGATTGTTACTTAGTATAAAGTAGACTCTGTTGTGGTCCATTTGCTCAGATGTGGCTGTCCCTGTAATTACCCTCTCGAGGGAGGGGAGCCAGAGGTCACCCCACCTGGAATTCTTTCTGGAAATCCTCAGCCAATGGGAGAGTAGCAGGCCTTTTTCCTAAGAACCCAAAGCACAGGAAAGGTGAGCCCTCTTCCATCCTCATTTCCTTCAAGGACCAGAGCAAAGCAAGTGATCCAAACAGAAGTGGACCATGGGTTGGGAAGATTCCCCTGGAGGAGGAAATGACAACCCACTCCAGTATTCTTGACTGAAAAATCCCATGGACAGAGGAGCCTGGCGGACTACAGTCCATGGGATCTCAAAGATCTCCTAACCACTGGACCTAAAGAATTCCCTATATTCTTTTTTTCACACTGAGAGAGTCAATCCTTAGATAGATTGATAAGGAGTCTGGGGCCCTTGAGGAGGGAGGGGTCCAGGGCCCTTGAGAAGGAGAAAGGGGTCCAGGGCTCTCAAGGAGAAAAGGACAAACCTTTTTTCCTACATTCCTTAGCCTTAGTCACATAAGATGTTATTTTCTTTTGGCCCAGAGATAATGATTACACAATAAAACAAAAGATGTAGGTTGTGGGAATGGGTATGGTAAGACCTTTCTATTGTTAGTTCTAATCTTGTTAATTTAAAAGGTATGTTAAGGGAGTGGGTCTGGTAAAAGCATTTAAGGCTTTGATGAAGACAAGCGAGTGGGGCACTCTTCATCCCCCTCATGATGTCTATGTCAGAAACTTTCTCTGTCCCTTTTTAGACTTTATAAAACTCTGCTACACAAAAGCTCTTGAGTGATCAAGCCTGGTCCCTGGTCCCAAAGCTAAATCTTCTTCGGAGATCACGAATCTGACATTGCTCACCATAAGCTATCAACACTAAATCTTCAACATCTGAAATGCGTTTTACCCTCACAGCACATCTCCGGACACATGTGACCAGGGCTGCCAAAATGAACACCACAACTCGAGAATCTGAAAGTCTATCACCCAACAAATCCTCAACCAGAGCAAAGTGCACAGAACACCCATTATATTAAGGTCAATATCTACTGCTCTGTAAACTATGATAAGTCATGCACTTTGAGCCACTAAGATTTATGTCTGCAGAGAGTTCTGATGGCAGCAGGAAAAAAGAACTCTGAGAATTTAAACAGAAAAAAACAAAAAAAACAACAGTGGATGAAACTACCCTAACATAATGTGTTTATGCACACACTAACATCATAAATACCTGTAATCATTAGGTGGTGGGGCTGTGGATTTTTTTCTTTTTCCTTATACTTTTTTCTACATCTTACACATATCTAATGTTAATTTAGAAATTATAATTTTTAAATTAAAAGTGATTAAAACATCGAGTCATGAAATATTTATTGAATTACTATATGCCTGGTCCTAAGACCTTCTTGTTCTCCAGGAAGGTTGATAAAACATCCGGGGACTGAAGAAAGAGCTAATATATAGCATTTGTGGGGAGAGGAAGGGGAGGATTTTTCAAGTTAGACATCTTTTCCTACACTTTTACTGGGAATGTCAAAAATACATATGAGCAAGGGCTGTGGGGAATTTTGTGCTAAGTCAGCAGCAGAGACAAGTGTCCAGTGCAGATTAAACTTGCATCTGTCTTGGCAACAGGGCTTGCCACCCTGTTGGCCCAGAGTTATGAGAGTTGCCCTCTTTCGGAAGGCAAGGCAGTTGGGTGGAAGTGCTCAGACTCGAAAAACAGGTGATCATGCATTCTTTTGGCGTGTGCAAAATATGCATTAAATCATTTACAAAATGCCTGCAGCTGTTTGGTAGGATACTCTGGGCTAGCCACAGGTACTAATTTAAAATCCAACTCCGCCTTGCTCACATGAGCATGTGCCTGCGTGTGTGCGCACACACACACACACACACACACAGCTCTGGAGGAGCCAAAGAGCTAAGGATGCTGCAAAGCTTGTTCAGAATGTGTCTGAACCTCCCTCTGCCCTGAAGGATGCCGTTTCCCAGCAGCAGCTCGTGCCCAGCCACGGGTGGCGTTTCACTTGGGAAAGAACAGGCAGGTAGACTGCAAAGTGTGAAGGTGTGGGATTCCTTGTTGCATCTGTCATTTGTCCTCCTCCCGAGATCTCTAGGGGGCATGACTGCTGTTGGTGATTAGACATTCCTGCTGAAGATTAAATCAGACTTGAATCTGTTTACCTCAAAAGGTAATGAACTAGATTAGGAGGTGTCAGGCTCAGAGAGTTGGGAGATATGGGCCGTGTTGTCTAAGGGGTGAAGGGTTTCTTGGAGGGGATGACAATGTTCTAAAATTGAATACAGAGTTGAGAATTGCACAACTCTGTGATTATATTAAAAGCCACTGACTTGTATACCTTAAATAAGCAAATGAGATGGTATGTGAATTACGTCTCAATAAAGATGTTAAGAAAAACAAAGATAAGCTCAGATGTGAAAACAACTCCTTTATACAAGCAATGAAGATCACAGTTATCTCAGGCACTGTATAAAGAATCGGAACGGCTAGGTGCGTCTTTCTTAGATTAAGACGCATACATTAGCAGTACTATCCTTTGCAAAACATCCAGCATGTCTCTCCCAAAGGAAGGCAGGGTTCTCCAAAGGCTGATCCCTTTTCACTGACCTTTCTGCTCCTCCCGCACTGCTGGCATCATCTGAAATAACCTTGTCCGTGATGTCTGGAGCATCCTTCTCAGGAACCAAAGGTAACGTGGATGGGCCAGCCTTGGGGCTCTTTCTGGGATAATGTAAAGAAAGCAATACATCTTAGAAAGGGCATTTCTCTCCATGTCCTATTGAAAAGCCCATTTCCCAGTTTAAGCTTTAAGTGGCTACTTCGTGAAAATCTCTAGAAAAAAAAAATTAGCTTCAGGCAGTGAAAGGCTTTGAGATGCTCTGGGATCGTTTAGGCCTCTCTGCATAAATAAATCCAGATTCAAAAGCAAATGTATCTGGACACCAGAAAAACAGTCTGACTGACCATAACCTATGACCCCATAGTCCACTGCTGGCCTGTAAACATTTCACGCTTTACAGTTTCAGTTAGAAGAATTAAAGAATACAAGGAAAGGAAAAAAGATGTGTTAAACAGACAACTCCCACACCTCCGAACCATTTCTCACGTTTTCAGACTCTCAGCACATCCAGAGATTGTAAGCAGGGAAATTTAAACAATTAGATACGGAAAAATTAGCTTCTTTAAAGGCACTCATCACTTTGACTTTTAAAAATGGGAATCACTTTTACGGCTGACCCCGCATTAGTATGTGAATTTATTCTAAGTACCTCTCAGCGTCCAGTGCTTCTGGATCCAGGTTTTGCTGCTTCGGGTCCCGAGTTTCGTCAGGTTCTGGGGGTGAGGAGACACCCATCTTCCCATCTCCCGCAAAAGCAGGGAGCTCAGGCCTGGGTTGCTCCTCGGCCTGTGGGGGCCCAGCTGGGCGGCCCCCATCTGGGGCGACTTCAGCATCCATCCTCAGAGCCCCTTCTAAGCAGCCTGGGTACCCAGGGCTTCCTGGCACAGCCGAGGCAGCAGCCACACCGGAGAACATTCTCGTAGTACCTGTTTCAGGCAGGTCCTCTGACACATGTGCCCCGGTCCCAGCTGTGCTCAAAGTGACGTCACCCTCTGCTTCCCCAGCAGCTCCAGCTTCCAAGCCGGGCTCCAGCGGATTCTCTGCCACTTCCCCAGCTGGGGGATCTGAGGGGCCCTGGGTGCGCAGGGCATCTTGTGTTTCCGAGACGCCAGCTGCACCTACACGCCCCCTCTCACCCCCAAGCGGGTTTGGGGTGCAGGGCTCACTCATGGCCTCGGGCAGAGGTGGGACGTCCCTGTGGGGAGATGCTCCCTGGGCAGAGGTGGATCCTGGCGTGTCACCCAGAGCCCCTGGGTAAGAAGAGCCCCGGGCACCATCTTCTCTGGGTTGACTGTCCCGGCGGGCTGTTTCCTGGCACTGTTTTCCAGAAGGAATCCTGTCATCTGGACCTGAATCCCCTTCTCCATGGCTCTGGGAAGCCACCTGCAAGTCAGCCCCAGAAATCTTTGGAGATGCTGCTTCTGAAGACAGACCCGAAGCTGATTCCTGCAGGCCATCTGCCTGCTGTGAATGGGCCGGGACTCCTCCAGGTCCCGGCCACCAGCCTTCCCCGGCCCCCTCCGGCTTCTTGCTGTCTGCCAGCATCTGCAGGGCCTCGCTCATTTCCTTCCCGACACTGGCGCCCAGCAGGTTGTGCTCTGTGGCCAGCCAGGCCAGCCCCGGCAGCTTTCCTGGAGCTGGATCCTGGGGACCCAGACGAGAAATCTCAGCCTCCACAGTCAGCTCTTGCTTCTTCCCCTTTGAGTCCACCCAGAGACCAGCGGGAAGGGTGGGGAGAGGGGCGACGGCCACTCCTTGAGTTGCATCTGGAAGCTTCTCTGGGCTTGGCACTGTGAGGCCCTTCTCCATCACCCTCTTCCCGGCTCCCACCTTTTCTCCCTTTGTGCTCTGGGGCCGATCGGTGGTCAGGGCTCCAAGCACAGACTTCTCGAAGATCTTGGTGATGTGCTCCCTGAAATCAGGCAACCCAGCGAGCATCCCGGTCTGCCTGCAGCTGGCGTCTACATCAGCTGATGCTCCCCGCCTGGGATCCTTGGAAGGCTCTAGCATCCTCTCCCCGCTGCCCTCGGTCTCTCTTGCTGCTTCCCCTGCCTTGCTCTCCTCACTGACAGGGCATGCTGGAATTTCACCGGGCTCAGAACTTGCACCAGGAGCTCCTGACCACTTCTCCTCCTCTGTGGTCTGCTTACCCTTGACCAGAAATGGCATCCTGTCCAGGTAGGGCACGGAGTCCACAGGACCCTCTGATGTCCCGGCTTTGGGGCTTCTGGGGCTGGCTGGCGCTGCAGAGATTCCTTCACCTGCAGCTCCTGCTTGTGAGAGGGAGGACTCAGCAGAGCCCTCCGTGGAGGAGGCCTTTTCCGAGGCAAGCAGGGGCTCCCGAGTGGAACAAGGGCTTTCATCAGGGGCTCCAGGGCCTTGGGGTGAGACAGCTTTCACGACACTGTCTTCCAGCCCTTTCCTGGCAGCACCCTCGATGTGCAGGTAAGGAGTGCCAGGGGCAGCCTCCTCCAGGGGTCCAGACGGCAGGAGCCTCTTTGAGTCAGGGACAACCTGCGCTGCAGAAAGATCTACCAGGCTCCTGGGACTTCCAGCCAGCTCCCTAGCTACAGGCCAGACATCCTGGCAGTTGGCTGAGAGCTGCTCACCTGTAGCAGGGGTAGAGGCTTCCTCCCCAGGGGAGGGGCGCTGCTCTATTTGGAGGGAGCCTGGCTCCCCCAGAGCCTGCCACATCCCCAGGGCTCCTCCGTCCGCCTTCCCACAAGTCTCAGCACCATCTGCACCTTGATCCTTGGCTGATGGGAAAATCCCAGAAAGCTCCGGGACCTCTGCATCCGAGGCAGTGAGGTGCTCCATTTCCTTCTGTGGGACCAACCCCGGTTGCTGCCCGCCCTCCTGGGTTTCTTCACCTGCGTCTCTCACTGGGGCATCCTGGGTGGGTGTGGCTCGGGGGCTGGTAGGTGCTGGAACCGGCCGGCAGTGAGCTGCCTCTGGGAGAGCTACTGAGTCAGGCCGACAAGGCGGGGCCCCCACAGTGTTTCCACTTGCCTTCTCTGTCTTGCCCAAGTCCTGGAGCTGGGGCCAAGCGTCAGCTGCTCCTGAAATGCCTGCATCTTCAAGACATGCTTCTTCATGCTGGCTGCCGGCATTCAGCCCATCAACCAGCTTCTGTTGGGACTCGTGTGGCCCCTGCCCAGTACAGCTATGTTCCTTTCTATTCAAGCTACCTGCAAGAGAAGGGTCTTGGAAGGTGTCCACTGCAGGAGATGAGCTCCTGGACAGCTGACTGCCGCTGCATTCTCCGTCTTGCCCCTTCTTCCCGAGTGCAGGCAACTCAGGCCTCGTGGGTGCTGACAACTGCGACTTCTCAGTTGTAGGATTCTCCAGAACTGTGTCCCCAGGAGGTGAACTCGGAGCATCAGACAGACTGCCTTTGCGAAGTTCACTTTGAAGTTCTGTTTCAGAAACCCGTTCTTTTCCTCCATGAGTGGATAAGCTCACATCTTCCCGAGATTCCACGGGTATGTGGATTTGAGGAGTATCTGTGCCCAGGATATTAAAATCCAAATCACCTGGATAAGTCTCTTTCTTGCTTTCGCACTGTTGGGATGTCTCCCTGAGCATACCGAACACCGATGCTTCTGGGTGTGTCTGGGATATCTGGAGATGGTTCTCAGGACACAGTAAGGGCCTCTCGGATGCAATCACTTCTATGCTGCTGTCCCCCGGGTGGGATACGTTTCCCTGCCGATCTTGCTCCAGGATGAGTGTTGTGAGCCCACAGTCCACTGCCCAGTTCTCTTCCTCAGGGGGAGGGGGCCCATCAGCGTGGACTTCCTGTCCAGCTGCGTCACGCCCCAGCCCATGGGGGTGAGGGGGTGTCAGCGAGCCCTCCCCCGCCCCATGGCCGGGCCTCTGTGCGGATGGGTGGCTCCCTGACTTTATTTCAGGCATGCGCTCCACCTCCTGGGCTTTGGGGACGACCTCTGGAGCAGGAGCCGACAGGAAATCCAATTTCTCAGATTCTAAAGCAGGAAGAGAATCCATTCTTCCCAGTCCCTCCACGTCCTGAAGGGTGTCGGGACATTTGGTCTGCGGTCCTGGCCCCGCCCAGACGGCTCCCTGGGGAAGAACATGTTCACCAGCTCCTTCTGGTCCAGAGAGTGGGCCAGGATGCTGTTCAGGGAGCTTGTGCAGTGAGCCTGATGCGTGGACCACTTGGGATTCTCCCATCATTCCACGGGCCACCACGTTCCAAGCTGCATCTTCTGAGGGAGGGTTGGACCTGTCCGCATGCCCAGGGATCTCCTCTCTGAGTGGCTGTGCTAGGACTGTGTTTGGAAGGCCTGTGCTTTCATCTCCAGGCAGCTGTGAAACCTCGGCCTTGTCCACCTCTGGATCAGGCTTGCAGCCCCAGGCCTCGGGTTGCTCTGCCTGTAGATTCCCAGGATTTGCACCATCAAGGGGCCCTGGGGCTGCTCCCTGTCCTCTAGGATCAGCCCCAGAGTCTCTGCTTTCCTTCTCAGTCACAGCTGGGTCTTCAGGGGCCTTGGCTTCATCCTTCAGCCCTAGTGACCTGCTGGCACTCTCATCTGATGCGCTGGGGGTGGGGAGAGCTGGAACCTTTGGTTGGACTTCATGGCTTAGCTCCCTATTCCTGAGCTCTGCCCTTTCCTCCAGGGAGGCAGGAGCAGGAATCTCTCTGGGGCCTCCTTCCCAACCCTCTCCTTCTCCTCTGAGGTCTGATGCTTGCTTCTCCGGTTCTAACAACCCTGCTTCTACCCTCTCTGTAGCCAGATCTGTGAGAACAGGCATCTCGGCCATGGAAACCATCTCCCTGGCTTGTTCTGCAGCCACGGAGGCCAGAGCAGCTGGCAGGGAGGGGAGGCTTGAAGCTGGACCCGCATCCTTGGTTGCGGCATGTGGGGCAGGCTCAGGGCTCATGAACAAAACTCCCTCCAGCTGGTCAGCTGTCGCTGCCCAGGTGACTTGACCAGGCTCAACATCTTGGCTCCCGGTCTGCAAGTGACCCTGAGCATCAAGGGCACCCAGAGTCTCCTCCCAAGAGCCCTTGTCCCCTGGCGCCAGGGCAGGACCCGGAGAATTCCAGGGCAGCTCTGCACGCGGGAGCGCTCCCATCAGCTGCTGGCAGCTTTCCTGGGAATCGGCCTTCCCTTCAGCTTCGTGGGCGGCCCCTGAACTGGTCCCAGTGGGAGGGCAGGGCCCGAGGAATCCCGCGTCATCATCGGTGAAATCCTGAGGAGGCCCCTCCACTGGGCATTCGGGGGCTAGCTCTTGGGAGGTTGAGGTCATGGGTTTTACGGGAGGCTCCTCCAGGCTGGCTGAGCCCTCTTGGCCTAGTTGGGCAGCATGAGCCTTGGGGGCTCCCTGCTGGGACTCTGGCCATGGAAAGCCAGCTGCAGCCTCTTGCCCTTGGGAGTTGAAATCACCAGGCTGGGCATCCTCTCCACAGAGCTGCACCTTCATCGGCTCTGGAGAAGCAGTTGGTGGAATTCCTGCCAACTCATCAGTGGAGCTGGAGGAAGACAGTCTCTGCCCTTCTTCGTCCTTCGAACCTGTCTCTCCTCCAGCACTGGGGACGACAAAAACCACCTTGTGCTGAGTTGAGTTGTCGTCCTGAGGGACAGGGGCTGCCGGGGCCTCTGCCGGGCCATTTGGAGAAGGTTCCCTCTGAGGGTGTTGAACCAGGGGCCAACCTTCATGTTCCCCTTCTGGGCTCGCCAAGCAACCTTCCGGGGAGCCCTCGGCAAAGCGCATGGAGGACGAGGGACTCTCCCGTTCCTGGGGCGCCGGTGCACTGGGATGTGGAGAATCTTCTGGGCCCCTGGCTGCCTGTGGGTGCTCTCTCGGCTCAGTCACCTCCGGGGACACGAGGCAGGGGTCTGGGCTGGCAGCACCCTCAGAAGCAGAGCTGGAACCTCCGTGCCAGACGCTGCCAACAATGAAAACATTTAACGTTTCATCAGTTCTCATGGAGGGCAAGGAGAGAGTACAGCACAGGCAGAATCACCCCGCCCGTCTCCCACCAAAGCACGTAACACACCGTCCGCATGCGGCTCATCCTCCCCATGAAGAGAGCCCACTCTCCATCCTACCGCACCCATAACCATGACTTTCTCCAAAAATCAATTCAGAGAATCTCAAACATTCAGTCTGAGGTTTTCCATGTAGGTCAGTAGTGAATAGGGAAATTAAATAGCAAGGAGATCAAACCAGTCCATCCTAAAGGAAATCAACCCTGAATATTCATTGGAAGAACTGATACTAAAGCTGAAGCTCCAATACTTAGGCCACCTGATGCAAAGAGCCAACTCACTGGAAAAGACCCTGATACTGGGAAAGATTGAAGGCAGGAGAAGGGGATGACAGAGGATGAGATGGTTGGATGGCATCACCAACTCAATGGACAGGAGTTTCAGCAAAGTCTGGGAGATAGTGAAGGACACGGAAGCCTGCCTGGCATGCTGTGAGGTCACAAAGAGTTGGGTGTGACTTAGTGACTGAACAAAAACAATTATGGACTGAGCTGTGTCCCCCTGAAAGTCCATATTGAAGTCCTAATCCATAATGTGACTGAATATGTGGACACAGGGCCTTAAAGGAGGTGATTAGATTTAAGTGAGGTCATAAGAGTGGGGTGCTAACCCAGGAGAACTTAAGTCCCTGTGAGAAGAAGGGGGACACCAGGAGTTACTCATACAGACAAAGAGGCCATAGCAGACACAGCAGGAAGGTGCCATCTGCAAACCAAGAGGAAAGGTCTCTACAGAAGCCACCTCTGCCAGCACCCTGACCTTGGCATTCCAGCCTCTGGAACTGTGAAGAAACAAAATTCTGTTGTTGAAGCTTCCCAGTCTGTGGGATTCTCTTATGGCACTGTGAACAAACTACTGCAATGGGTATATTGGATATCATTTTACTATCCTTTCAACATTTTTAAGGCTTCAAATTTTCCAAAATGAGAAGTTGGGAAAATACTAATGGATGAAATTTATTGAACATCAGTGCTTTACATGGATTATCTCTCATTTAACCCTACCAATAGCCTTGCAAGGTGGATATTACTATTGCCATTTTGCAGAGAAGAACCCTGAGAAGAGGAATTAAGCTTGAGTCTGACGGACCATGATCATCTTATTCATTCTATGCCTCCAAAAGCAAAAACTTTTAAGGAGGGAGACTGAATGTTTGTGTCCCCCAAAATTCATATGTTGAAAACTAATCCCCAAGATGACGGTGAAAGGTTGAGGTTGCAAGCCATGTGCTACACTGGGATTTGTGGCCTCCGAAGGAGAATTCAATCCAGGGCCAGAGACGAGGCTTGACTACAAGGAGCTTTTGTGTAGCAACGTTTTATTATTAAAGCGCAATAAGAGATAGGGAAAACTTCTGACACAGACATCAGAAGGGGACAGAAAGAGTGCCTGCTTGCTAGTTTTTAGCAAGGTGTTTTATGTCTGTTAGCAAGCTGCTAATCAGACAAGAGAGACATCTCAAGGCTGAGGGAGTTTCACCAGGCCCCTCTCCCACAACATGCATTTCTGAGATAGAATGGAACAAGCTGTGTCATCCCTGGCCATAAAACAATTGACAGGAATATTGGTTTGCTGCACCATTATCAGCCCAAGGTCTGAGAAAAGAAAAAAAAAAAAGGTTCGTCTTAGGCAAACCAGTTTGAAAAAAGGCACATTTCAAAGCAATTACATAGTTTCATTAACATAGCTCAAGAAAAACACTTCTGTAAGAAAAAACCGCATTGGTTATCTCAAGGTTTGAAAAAAGTTCAGTTCAGGCAGAACCAGGTGTCCTCAACAGAGAAGGGGGAAAAAAAACATCTGCCACTTGCAGTTTACCTCCTCCCACAACTTGAGGACCTCTGGCCTTCCTACCTACCTCTCAATGGTATTAGGAAAGAAGGGTCTTTGGAAGGTGTTAGTCATGAGGGTGGAGCCCCCATGAAGGGATTAGTGCCCTTAAAAAAGAGATGCTGGGAAAGATTGAGGGCAGGAGGAGAAGGGGACGACAGAGGATGAGATGGCTGGATGGCATCACTGACTCAATGGACATGGGTTTGGGTAGACTCTGGCAGTTGGGGATGGACAGGGAGGCCTGGCATGCTGTGGTTCATGGGGTCGCAAAGAGTCGGACATGACTGAGTGACTGAACTGAACTGAAAAGAGACTCCCAGAGAGTTCCCTTGATCCTTTTGCCATGTGAGGACTCCCAGAGAAGGCATCCACTTATGCATTAGGAAGTGGGTCCTCACCAGATTTGAAATATGCTGGCACCTGGATATTAGATTTCTAGCCTCCAGCATCACAAGAAACACATGTCTGTTGGCTAAGCCATCCAGTCTATGGCATGTTTATAGCAGCCTGAATGAACTGAGGCAGAAGGCAAGAGGCTCTTTACCTGACTCCATTCTAGCCTCTCACCAAGCCCCTCACCTATGAAGTATGCATGACATCACATGACAACCTCGAAGGAGGTGGGTACAGGTGTCACTACACCAGTCATCCTGATTTAATGCTCATCTCTGCACATCAGTTCAGTATCAGTTCAGATGCTCATTCGTGTCCGACTCTTTGCGACCCCATGGACTGCAGCTAGCCAGGCTTCCCTGTCCATCACCAACTCCGGGAGCCTACCCAAACTCATGGCCATTGTGGTGGTGGTGCCATCCAATCATCTCATCCTCTGTCATTCCCTTCTCCTCTTGCCCTCAATCTTGACTAGCATCAGGGACTTTTCAAATGAGTCAGCTATTTGCATCAGGTGGCCAAATTATTGGAGTTTCAGCTTCAACATCAGTCCCTCCAATGAATATTCAGGACTGATCTCCTTCAGGATGGACTGGCTGGATCTCCTTGCAGTCCAAGGGACTTTCAAGAGTCTTCAACAGCACAGTTCAAAAGCATCAATTCTTCAGTGCTCAGCTTTCTTTATAGTCCAACTCTCACATCCATACATGACTACTGGAAAAACCATAGCTTTGACTAGACAGACCTTAATGGTAAAGTAATGCCTCTGCACATATGACACTGAAAATATTTCAGATGGACCCGAGAGAGAATTGGCTACTATCTCAACAAGATTAGCATTTTCAGACAAAAAGCAGGGCTCATAAGAGCAAAGAAGAGAAAACTAAAGAGGGTTAAGTTACATGAATCTCTCCAATCCTCAAGAGGTCACTAGAACAGACATGCCCATGGAGAGTCCTGGCCTTGTGCTGATGGACAGAAGTGAAACCACTAGAATTGCAAGTAACATTCCTTGATTTGACCTCTGCAGAGCAGGATTTCTGAAATTCAATGGATTGTTCCAGAACCAGTAACTCTGTACTTGTGAACCTGGCTATTTTCCTTTTAATAGGCACTTTATACTTAATTGTGTTCCACTCATTAAGTGGGGGGTCAAATCGTTTAGTAGCTAATGAGATTAATGGCATGAAATTCAGAAATGAAGCATTCCTACTGATGTCTGCTTGTTCAAGAAGCACAGAACACAGCTCCCTCTGCACTGGCAACAAAAGAACAAAGTGGCTTTACTGATTTGCCTCTGAGAGCAGTGGCCAACTCAGAAGAGTGTGCAACTTCCCTTCAGGCTGCCTGAAGTCATGACCGTCTGGGGACAGGATGAAAAATTCACTCCACTGGGGCACCTTGAAGACCTGCGGGTATTATAAGAGAGAGACCAGGAATAACATCCCCCAGAATGTGAACACGGACTCCCTTCAAAATAAGGACCCAGTCTTGGCTTTCTTTCACCTGAACTGAGCACCTGTAATCTCTATGATTGCCCATCAGAAGCCAATTTTTAAACCAGGTTAAAGTCACTCGCCAGGAGGAGATTTGCCCAAGGGCAGGAAAAATTCTACAAAGTGATCTGTAAGGGCCCTGTATTAATTGGAGCTTGCACAATGTCCTTTTGTGCTTCAAGATAGAATAAAAAATGTGTAGGATGGAGGTTCAGCTCAGAATCTAAAGGCGAGCTCTTGTGGGCTGGGCAGCGTGTTCTAAATGCAAGGCTCAGTCCAAAGGGGGGAGAGCACTGCCTTTGAGCTGAGGAGGGCAGAGCACAGTGTGGACCACAGCCTCCCCGATGCGGCCCTGATGCCCCCCACCAACAAAGGGAGAGGCATGGGGTCCGGAGACCTGGGAGGAGGGCTGATTCGCTGCAGCAAAGGGCTGAGCAGATGATGGAGATGCAGAGAAGGCCCTCCCCACCACCCGAGCTGGAGACAATCACATCCAGATGGGTTCCTAAGGCGTAGTTCTGAAGACGCACACTCAAGCCAACTAGGAATGCTTGAGAAGAGGAAGGAGACTGGCTGGGGGAAAAACAAACATGGTCTCTGCACTACCAGGCTTCAAGGGAACCAGCAAAACCATAAAGCAAAATTGCCAAGATGGACGGCTGCCACATCCTGAGTATTTACTAAGGCCAAGCCCACGCTAAGCACTTTTCAGTTCTGATGACATTTAATCCACACAGTAGCCAGGCAGAGTGGATGTCGCCCCGCCCCTCGATGCACAAATGAAAAAACATCCACACAGAGTTTCCAGACCAGACCTGCGTCGCATGCAGAGCTCCTGGTGCAAAGTGAGATCAAGCCCTGCCTGGCTCCAGGCTCCTGCCACCTCTGGCTGCTTCGTACTTGCTGGCCTCGCCTCTCCTGGACCAGGGTGGCAAACTCTTCTCCCACCCAGGCCGACCCCTGCACTCTCTTCTCCAGGCTGCATCCAGAACTACGGCTTAGACATGAAAGCCTGATCCTGTTACCCTCGTGGGAAGACCCTCCAGTGATGACTTCAGTTTGCAGTCAGCTGTGCCCCCAGCCTGCCTTTCCAGATGCAATCCACATAGAGCTCTCCATCCCTGCATCTCCCTGGAGCTGGAACCCTCCTGCTTCTCCCTGAGAATCTCAGACCC